GCTACAGTGCTGAATGTTTCTGACTGTAGCTGTGTTATCATTAGAGCTCTTTGCTTGGCAGTGATCTAAGTTTTCTTTCTGCCACTTAGTTTCCATCTTGAAAGGAAAATGCAAAGGGTGTCTTATTATGAGTCTGTGCAGTGATTCAACCAACGTGACAACAGCGAGCCCAGTGAAAGATGCCACAGCATTCATGTTTGTTGGACCAGTTTCCCTCATGACATCTCAACTTCCTAATGATTTCCTTCAAAAACGCCTTTTGTTTGCAGGAAGCAACAGCAATAACAGCAGAAGAGGTTTCCCAGTAAGAACAACACTCTGGTCTACTGAGGCTACAGGAAGTGGCGTCTCTGCCTCTGCTCCATCTAAAACGGGACTTTTTTACCTGAATGTTACGAATGTTTAATATCGAGACCAGAGCGACCAAAATGATCGAGGTCATAAGTATTATCACGGGATCGTTAAAATGTGCTGAAAATGTTCAAAAAGTAAGAAAACAGGAGCTGGAATCATTCCACCAAGTGAACGTTTGCATTTAAACATCAAAATGACAACATGTTCAACACATCCGTGTCACAAGGGACCGGCAGCAGTACTGGGTTTGCCTGCTGCATGCCAACTCTGTAAACAAGGGAATAGCAACAGCACAGACGCTGTAAACACACCTGTCACCTGTCCAGCACGGCGCTGGTCCACCAGAAACACCGCGGCTACACTGCGCTCGGGGATGACAGTGAGCTGCGGCCCGTCTGGAGTCAGGTCACAGTAATCTGCCACATTTCATGTTTTATATGTATTTAAAAAAGACCAAAACCGCTAAATATTAGACTTAAATTCATCAGGTGGCCAATGACACAACGCTAAATAAGGAATAAGGGGTTGCTGTGTGCATGTCGGATGTGTAAATAAGCAATTTTATCAACACTACATATAAAGTTCTTATTGGTCAGCAATATCTACATTACATTAAACATGCATGAACACTTGTTGTGTTTTACATAAAATACACATACTCGCTTTTAGAAATCCAAGATAAGCATATGTTGAATTCACCGGTTAAACTTTAATTTGATTGTGTGCGCAGCTGTAAATGGACACACACAAATACACACACACACACACACACACACACACCACAGATGCTCATCCCTTGTGGCAAGCACTTTACATGCAAAGTACATGCAAGTCACATCACATGCTCAGCGAAATGCATGATTNCACACACACACACACACACACACACACACACACACACACACACACACACACACACACACACACACACACACACACACACACACACACACACTAAAAAAAGGCCTTGCTCGGTTAAGTAAATGAATACTTCATCAAACATAATCTCTCAGTGAGTTCATGACAGACTCCCAGTGAGTTTAAAGAGAACATACAGATTCAGTTCCTGTAGACGGAAAAATGCCCTCACTCACACATATATTATGCATCCTCTGACACCTATGAAAGAGTTTCACATAGAAATCGCAGTGAAGATCAAACTGCAAGAAGTTGGAACTGTCTGAAATTCTCAGAGGAACCGGGAGACGGGGGTGGGGGTGGGGGGG